ATCCATGAATTAAATTTGCATCTATATTCTATAAATATTCCAACTGGAATTTCACCCTATTCGAAAACAAAAGCTACCTTCTATGCACTTGCTGCTATATTCTAAAAAAATTTCACTTCCCAATGCATTCAACATTGTTTTGTAATCTTTTTGACTTGGCCTAATAATGGACATAAGTGCAATCTTTTAATCCACCACAAAATGAAAAACTTGCATTATTTGCATGGGGGACAGCCTTCCTCAATTTTTATGGGCATGAAGAGATCACAAAAATAATACTCCTTCCTTCTTAAATTATAAAATATTTTTAAAAAAATTTATAATTTTAAAATATAAGACATTTTGAGAAGATTAAGATTTCATTAAATAAGCTTATTCTAATATTATCATTTCTCTCTCTCTATTTAATACTAATTAAGTGTGGATTTAAGGTTATTAAATGAAGGGTATTTTTAAAATTTTATATTTTTATTTTGAAAAAATAAGGTCATTAAGTATATTTAATGAGAATCATTAATATGTAAGAGTTTATCTAAAAGTATCTTATAATTTACGACGGAGGGAGTATTAAACTGAATCATTTAGAAGTGATGCATTTACAATTTACAATTATGTACTCCCTCCAATTCATAATATTACCTTCATCACAAATTATAAAATACTTTTGGAGATATTTAATGTTTTAAAATATAAATCATCTTGATAAAAATAAGATTTCATTAATAATATTTTTCTAATATTATCATTGTCATACATTCTCTCTCTCTCTCTCTTTAATATTTTTTCATAATTGACTGTTAAATAAATAATATTTTTTAAAGTTTATATTTTTATCTTGGAAAGGTAAGGTTGTGAAGTATACTCATTTAATAAAATTTCTTAATATACTCCCTCCATTCAAAAATGTAAAGCATTTTTTGAGAAGTTGGATATTCAAAAATGTAAGGCATTTTTAGTCTTTTGAATTGTAATTATTGCTTTTTTTCAAAACTGCCCTTATTAATAATGAATTTATATTTATTATAGGGTGTTTAATAGAAGTAAATATAGAAAGATAGGAATAGTAAGAAAGTAGACAATTACTTTATTGGGAGTGAGATTCGATTAAAAATGTCTCATATTTTTTAATAGAGAGAGTATATGATTTTATCTAAAAATGTCTTAAAATTTAGAATAAAGATAGTACAAGGTATTGATAATTAATTTACAATTCTAAAAAAAAAGTTAGCCTAAACATTCATCTTTTTTTTTTAAAAAAAATGTACTCCCTCCAAACCATAATATAGGTATCTTCTAGAAACCCTACTTGATTCAAAGTATAAGCATTATGTAGCTTTTAATTATTTTTACAACTATATCCCTGCTTCATTTATCACTATTTTTTTAAAAAAAATGATGTATTAAAACTTCAATTGTTATTATTAAAACACTTATATTATATAGGATATTTAATGAAAATATAATCATTTTTAATAAATTAAGATTTTGCCTAACTTTCTTTAAAAATCATGAAATAGTTACTAATATCCTATATACAGTCTAGATGAAGTAATTTTTTTCAATTATACTCCCATTAAATGAAGGAGATAACTATACCATATTTGAACGACTACAAAATGACCCACACTATGAATTCGAGCAAGTATAATTGTAAAATAAATCCTATTACTTGTTTAAGTAATACTTCTTTAGTTTTATTTACAAATGACTTTCAATATGTTTTTTCAAAACAAGAAAAAAGTTAAAAAATTTAATAAGTTTTCAACTTCATTTCTACAAAAATGCATCATTCAATAACATATTTTACCTTACAAACATCTAATAAAAGGCAAAAGGGAAAAATAATGATATGACTTATAAATAAGATATATAAATTTCTCTCTTTGTGTTGTAAATATGATGAGAATGACTGACCAAAAAAAAAAAACGACGAGAATGAGTATAGTGTAGACTAATCTAGATAGCATTTAAAATCATTACTTGAATAAGGGCGAGGCGCCAACCGAGCATAAATGGTAGAAAGCAGGGTATTTAATGAATAAGGCTCCAACACGTTAAAAAAGGGGTGACTGGGGGAAACAAATCAATCCAAAATGAGGAAATTGCAAGAGGCCAAAATCAAAGGACAACTAACTTTCCCGTAAAAGAAAGAATTTCAACTAAGATCCAACTAACAAGAGATAATGAATTCCAAGAAGAAGAGGGAAAAATGATACAAGCTTTTTGAACAAGAGATCTCTCTCTCTTTTTTATTTTTTTTTAACACCTACCATGCTATGGGTACCTTTTTTTCATTGCCTAGTTTCAACCAGGCATTATATTTGTGGGTCACCCTGCCCAACACTCCCAACTTCACGTGCAAATTTATCACAGAAATTAAAAGATTTGGTACCAAAATATTAATATTGGCATCTACCTAAGTCAAATAGGCTTCCCTTCTGTAAATGCTTTGTTGGTTTCTCTGTTTCCATAATGCCCTCCGCCAATCAACTAAACCCTGCGAATAGCTTCCATCCCACAACAAATCTGCCTTCAAAACCACTTGTTAGCTTTTATCTTTTTCACATTTCGTTCTGATGGGTTTCTGTTTTCAGCCTCTAAGTGCATTGTTATAAGAAATGCAACAATAAAACTTTCTTCAATCTTGCATTTTCAATTATTTTTTTTAATTCTAATATTTTTGAAATTTGGAGTATTAACACTCCTATCAAAAATAAAACTTGAGATTTTAGGGTAGATTGGTGTTGACTTAACTCTTTTATTATTATTAGTTGGGTTATATGCTATTATTTTCGGAACTAATAAGTTCCAATTTTGAAGGGGGGCATTAAATGCCAGTGCGGTAAAATTGAGATTTGACTACAGAGAAATGGAATTCAAATTTGAAGTGAGATATTATTGAGGAAGGTAAAAAAACGTTAAGGGCTGTAGAATTGGCCTAGTAATTCTCGAGGGATGCCATGTGGAGAAGGTAACGTTAAGGTCTCTCTCCATCTTATTCTCACCAACTGATTCCACTTTCAAAAATCTCCTCCGCATACCTTGCTCTTTTTTCTTAACCGCTCCACCTCTCTGCTATTACTCTCTCTCTCTCTCTCTCTCTCTCTCTCTCTCTCTCACACATTTTCATAATTCACACAACAATTCACTATTCATATTCCCTTTTTCGCGTTTTGCTCTTCTTTCTCCAAAATTCCCGAGAGCATTTCTTCCTCTCACTCTCATCAATGGGGAGAATGGGACAGGAAGAATCAGATTTGAAAACCCAGTTAGTTTTGGACATTTGCTCCATCTCTACTCGTTCTGTGGTATGCGTCCATAGGCTTCTCTCAAACCCAGCTAAGCCACCTTCTTTCATTGATTGGTACCACATTCTTGGAGTAAGTTGATGACTCTTCCGTTTTGTTAATGCAAAGAATTTTTTTCTGGGTTCTTTTCTGTATGATGTGAATTTCTATATTGTGGCCTCGTGGGTTCTCATTTCTCATAGGTGGAAGAAAATGCAGGGTCAAATACCATTCGCAAGCGATACCATAAGCTAGGTGGGTTGAATTTTCCTTTCTTGTCTTTTTCCTCTCTCTCTCTCTCTCTCTCTCTCTCTCTTTCCAGCATCATGTGCAATATGCATTGTGTCTTCCAAAAATGATGTCGGCTGTTCTTGTCACAGCCTTGCAACTTCACCCGGACAAGAATAACCATCCCAAGGCTGAAATTGCCTTCAAGCTTGTCTCTGAGGTTCGTTTGTAATTCTCTTTCTTTCTTCCCGTTCTCCGTTGGTCTGGGCGTGATTGATCTGTAACCGAGAAATGTTGAAAACACGAAACTGACCCAGATATTTTGGGAACATAAATGCAGTTCACATATTCAAGAAATGTTCAAAATACGAAACTGAACTAGATATTTTAACAACAAAACTGCAGTTCATATGTTTAATTTGAAGTGAGTCGATACAAATCTCATCCCCAGCATCTTCCCCCTTCTTTTTCTGCAGGCATATACATGTTTGTCTGATGCTGCAAAGAGAAAAGCCTTCGAGTTAGAGAGATGGAAGAATTTCTGCTTTGAGTGCAAAAGGATCCCATATTCATCGTCTGACAGTGCTCCTCGAAATTCCAATGGCGGTTCAAGTTTCAAGGTATGGAACATTATCAGCAGGTCAAGATCCTATAAGCTTTGGAAAAATATAAAGGAGATTAGAGAGAGATTCAAGGAGGAGGCTAAGGTGATAGAGAACTGTTTGAGAGCAAATTCAATGTCAAGGAAAGAATCTCCACTTTACAATCCAGCAGATTATTTAGAAAGAAGCAAGTCTCAACGCAGAACAGAGAAAGAAACACCTGTGTTCAATCCATCAGACTACTTGTACCAAGGCTATCCTCATCTGAGAAGCCAAATTTTCAAGAATTCTGATAGGTTTTGGTACTTACAGACAGCAAATAATATACTTAATGATAGGGGAGGAGCCCAGTATGACTCCCCAGTTTTTGAAGTCAGACCAGAAAGGAGAATGTTCACCAGCAAATTTGCTTATGTCCCGTCATGATGCCAGGACAAAATCTTTTTTACATTCGCTATGTAATTTTAAGCATTTAATTAATGCAATGTGATTGATATTGCAGTATTCTGGCTTCCTTATAGGATAGATTGTAGTATTCTGACACCAATTCATCATTAGATATCCAACTGTTTCTAAACCTGCATAGTGAAAGATCATTTTGCTCACGTTGAATTAGGGTACAATAGACTACAGAGCGTGCCCCAAAAAAGAAAACGGATTAAAAGAACCTGAAACTTACTTTAATTAAAAATAATTATAAATTCTCTTAACAAAAATGATGACAGTAAAATCTAAAATGTGAAAATTCAATCTGAACAATCTAGAGAAAATGGGGCACATAGAGCACATAGCAGGAGGCGGACCAAATCCACTCGCTTTTGCAGAGCTAGCTCTATAGAACTAGTCCGTTTTGATACGTATAAAACGACACACAAAGTCCGTATGATAGTTGAAAGAAAACTGCAATTGCAATAATCAGACGAGTGTTACTGACTACATTAGGCGTTGGCCAAAAAAAGTTACGAACATTAGGTTACGTCGTCTTTATGACAGTATCTACATTGATTTATAAGGTAGCTTATGTATCTAAATCTATAGAAGAAACTGAACAAGATATTGCGGCATAATTCGGTTTAAATGTGATCCAGCAACCAACCACTTTATGCCAATTTGTCCAATAGGAATAAGTTTTATGCTTTGTCTGATGTGACTTTCCCCTTCAGTTGCTAGGTGTCTGGTTGAGTTATTGAGAAATTCAGGCTCCGGCTCACTTTTTTCACTTCCTGCAAGTTCCTGTTTCGAATCTGACTATTATTCTAAAAAGCATATCCTTACAGCTGCAATAACAGAGACAAGACCATAAGAAAACAAAAGACATCACGGTGCTCAGCACCCTGATATTGTAACAGGTATAAGATCAAATGAAGATTACCTGAGACCATTGCCCATAGCTGGTTCTTCCCTTTTTAGAAGTTTTCTCCCACAAAGTGGAACGGAAACCGGGGCGACCTAAAGCCAGCTTTCTGATGGTTCAACAGAACTGAGAATTTTCAAGGATATACTCCTCTTGTGAACATGAAACTCAGCCATTGCAACAAGAGCCGCTATTGCTTCATGAAGGTTAATAATCTCACTATCCAAACTCCTAAGTTGGGTGCAGTATACCCCAACAAGCCATGTTTCAACCAGCATGAACCATCAAAATCAAAGAAGAGGCAACTCTCAGGTATCCAATTTTTTAGGTTAAAAAAAAAAACAAAAAGAAAGTATAGCTTCATCAATTCATATATCAGCGAGATTTCGCAATGCATGGTAAATCAAAAAAGTTACTCTGTCAAACACAATTTCAGTATTGCTATGTATTCAATTTGGTCTCCGTCTCGGATTTGCGCCATCTCCAATCCCAATATACTTGCAAACACAACATAATATAGAAGAAACATGAGTTAACAGGAATATCAGAAACAGCCTAGCAGTAAAATATAACAACACAGATGCATATAAAGCTATTTAGAATGCATCTATTGCCTAAATGAAAACTATATTTGAACAACTTTTAAACCCACTTGTTATCATTATAAGGAAAGCGCGATAACAAATAAACTTGTAATCTTAATATGAAACATTTCAGCAGAATAAACAAAGAATAGTCAAATGGAAAAGAGAACAAGAACCTACATTGTTATTATCAAGGAGAAAATTGGCAGACTGGCACCTGGAAGTTTAAAGATACAAGTACAAATTTAAGATTCTTATTGTTGTCTTAATGTAATTTGCAAGGTACTTTTATGTTAGGGACAACAGCATGATCTCCTTTTATTGCAAAGTAGAGTTCCTTATTTGTTTTGCAATTTCAAACATGCTGTTCTAGAACATATAGAGAAATTGTTTTGAGTTGTAGATTCATATAAGAAGTAACTATTGACTCAATAGAGCGGCTTGCGTAAAGAAAACACGTCAAGCCTTTACATTCATGCTAGCTTTCCTGAAGTGTCGCATAAATTTTGTCTTGCTTAATATTTTTAATGCTTCATGTCTTCAAATAACTTCATATACCAGTCATAGCTAGATCCAAAATAAGAAAAATATAAATGAAGCATGTCCATTTTGACCAAGGATATCAAATTTCAGTATGGGTGAAGACAAGTACTACCTAAATCTTTAGAATTGAAAAATATTAGCAGTTTGACACTACTATTGTAAAATTATACCCAAAAAAAAAAAAAAACACTCTTTAAGTAACAATGATTAAGATGTCAAGTTGAGCAGAAGAAATTCAATATTTCTTAAGTAAGGTTGAAAGTTCGAACCTTATGAATGAAACCCAATGTTGGGAGAGCTATCTCCTATTTGGAGCTAATAATACTTGAATATGGATTAGTCAGTAGTATGGAATATCAGATGGTTGTAATAAACAAATATAGTTACTGTGTCCAATTTCTCACCATTTCCGGATGACGATAGTCTATCTTATATGCTTACCTCTTAACCCTTTTCCATCTTTCTTTTATCCTAGGGAACATAAAATACAGAACACATTACAACTTCACATTTATATTATTTAAGAAAGAAACTGCTACAGGTTCTCTTGAAATTCACACACCCAAGTTTTACACCAAAAAAACATCCAATCTAGGTTCCACCTGTCATGCCAACCAAAAACAAATAATGGACTGGATAATTGTTGGCTTCTTTCTATGAAAGGAATTTTTACAAGCTCAATATGGTTAAATGAAGAGTTAAAACCATAGCCAAATGCATTGGACATAACAGAAAACTCGTAGAGCTATTGGGAAGGGGCAGCCAAACTAATTATCATTCCAAACATTCCATCTCAGTATGACAGAATGGTCAACTGTTTAAGTTCTCTAAAATTGCCTACATCTCTTGAGTCATACATTGCATAGGTGAACCTTTTCAGGTAAGAAAACTTGGAAATATATCTAATAAAATATGAATTTATAAGACAAGCAAATGAGTAGAGCAAGAAAAATACAGAATTTTGAATGTCATACAGATTTAGTCAAGAACCATGAAATTAAGAGATCAAATCACTGTTTTCAACCGAGACTGACCTGGACGGTCGGACCGATCAAACCATCACCTAGAGAAGAAAATGGTTTGGTTCAACCATTTGGCCCATTCTGGTAATTGACCTAGGTTGGCCTACTTTGACCTAGACGGTTCTTGAAGACCCAAGCAAAACTAGAGACCCAGAGCAATTAAACCGGTTTGACCTGTTTTTTTAATATATATATATAAATATTTTTTATTTAATTATTATGTTACCGATTAAACCATGAGACTTGTGACCCATTGATATTTTCAGTTCGTTTTTAAAACATTGGATCAAATGACACCAAAATAGGGAAGAGCAATATTGCCAGCAAAATGGCTCAATAATACTTTGCACATCACCATCTTCATAAATCAAAGCATTAAACACCAACCAATCAGAATCCAGAAATAAATTAACCACAAAACAAAACCTATGGGCTTAGATAAATCAATCTATAAAGATTGCACAAAGTTTTTCATTTACTTGATTAGCCAACTATTAAAGAACATTAAAAACCATGGTATAATGGTGTATTGTTACAAATACTCGCACAGGTGAATCACTTTAATTCCTGATACATGGTCAATTGTAAAAAAGTTCATGTGTGTCCACAAGTCAATGACTACCAGTTTCTTAAGCAGCAAATGTCCTCACTCATCCCCCCTCCCCTGTAAGTCCCAGTAAAAGGGGGATGTAAAAAAATGTGTGACAAGCCCATTTTATTCACGTAAAAGACCCGCTTTTAGCCCATAGTTACATTGAAATATGACTAGATTTGGACATATTTGTCTTGGTTTTACTTAGTTTGTTGCAAGCGTGCATTTCAGGGTCTATTTATTGGACTGAAATGAAAGGAGAATTGGACCAAAAACATGGAGATTACAAACTCAACAGGCTCCAAATACATCCTCACCAGACCACCTGATGCTTGCTTTCATCTACTGAGGGACAATATGTAGGGGTCTTTCTTTTCCACAGTGCAGTAGTTAAGTGACTTTCTCTTGCTTTTAGTAAACAACAACAACAACAACAACAAAAATCCCACTAGTGGGGTCGGCTACATGGATTGCAAGACGCCATTGTGCTCTCTTGCTTTAGTAAAAACAACCAAAAAAACAAAAATTGTATGTCAAGTATGAACTTAAAAGTACTTTCTAAATTTATTGAACATTTCAAATTGACAAATGACAACTACAATTGCCTAGCTCTAGCATCTTCTTTATTAAGTAAACAACATACCCATTGTAATTTGTAAACAAGAATCAGAAAACATGGCCGAAGTTATTCAACTACAGCATCTCTTTCAGCTTGTAAACAATTCTTAATACAGGTCTATTGATACAAGAAAAGGAAAATGATTAAAATGGCAAGCTACACTAAATAGATTGAAAATACAGAAGTTTAGAAAGAAAACAAACCAATCAGTCAATATACCTTAAAAACAAAAAGAAAAGCATAAGCCTGCCTCAGGGATCATTTCTTCACCTTGAGCTGATCTTCTGTCACCAGTCTTCAGATATTTGGAAGTTCGAACTAGAATGTGAGAAAATGGAAGAAAAACAAACAAAGCTTAACGGATCGAAAGAACTATCAGATTCTTATTCTTTTCTCCTCACATGAAAATACTTAACTCTGTCCTGTTTGGCAATATCTTGGTTGTCTAATCCTCTCCCCTAAGTTGTGCAAGCTCCAAGTCAGAATTAGAGGCAGTAATATTTAATTAGCCATGGCATATCTTAAGCTCTAACAAGTAATTTCTTGAATATTCCTCTTCAAAATCCTATAATTTTTTTATTATTAGAGTTGTAAGAAATCCATGCATGAATGCCATATTAGGATTTCAGCTCATAAAAGAACAGTAAACGGAAGAAGTTACTTTTAGTTATAACTAGCACCAGAATATCAGCCAATACTAAGAACCTATGAGGAGTAAGTGTTTGTGCAATAGATTGGTATACTTGGCCCACCCCAAATTAGTGGCCTTGAGCTGAAGCTTAGTTTTTAGGCCAAAAGTAGTTAAATTTGAACTTGATAACAAGGTCTGTACACCTTTAAGATCCTGAAGGCTTGCCTTAGATTGGTCTAAACCAACCCAAAACATAATGTATTAATTTATTAAGCCTCTAAATTTAATAATATACACATAATTTATGCTAGATTCCCCTTTTTATTCAGTCTCCTTTTCATTTTCTACTTTATAAATTCTTTTCTTTGATGAATGAAACATGGCAAAGATGCAGTGATTTGAACACAAGTTCCGTGATACTAAATTGGCCATAAATTTATCGTCTAAATTTTTACATCATGTGTAAACTATTGATTGATTAAAAAAAAAAAAAAAACTGGTGAGTTCAATCTAAGAAGTTCACGAGTCAAATTTAAGTGAAAGTATATTTATCTGAAAATAAGCAAAGCCCAAGCTTGAGCTTCATCGATAGGCTTGAGCCGTTACTTAACCTTGAATAATGGAACAAAATCTAGTTAAACTTAATCCTCAGTTGAGGCTAAGGAGACTCGTAATTCTACACAATGTGCACTATTCAAAAGTGTAATGCAGCTTTCCTCGAATGAAACAATCGAAAGAGCAGTCGAAACAATAAACAGGCAATCTGCAAGTACTTGAACAAGTAATTTCAAACGCACAAGATCCAAACCGCTCCAGTCACCGGGAAAGAAGAAACAAATATCTCCTATAATCACCAAATAAACTGATAACGGACATATATTTTTAGCAGAAACAAGTACACAATGCAATGGGGATCGTTTGATACTTCGAGGAAAGAAGAAAACAATCAAAATATAAATTACTTTAGAACTGGTGACGGAGCTGTACCTTCTCGGGGATTCGAGAGGATTTCAGGAGCATGTGCGACCAGAAGCTTTGACAAGGAGATTCATCTGCCCGAGTGTTCGAGCCTCCAATTCACTCTCGCTTTATTAATCAACATAAAACAAAAAATCACAGAATATTCATTGTTAATTTTTAAATAATTTTAGGAGCATTAATTACTAGTTATTAATTAATATTTAAGAAAATAAAAAATACTGAAAATTGATAATGAAAGAAATTTTTTACAAACCCAGTTCAGGTTAAGGCTAGTTCAAAGATTAAAAATAATAGTCGAATCATGATTAAATTATTCATAAATTAATCAAGACATTGGTTTAATGTTTTGACCGGACAGTTTGATTTAAATTTTCATGTCATGACAACTAAATGAAGTGGTAAATTTTTGAACCAGCATCTTGACAGTTCTGTAAAATATTTTGTTCATAATTTATCTAGCTATTATTCTATAATTTTGATCATTAATTAATTAATATCTTAACTTGTTTAATTATCAGTTTAGTTTTCGGTGCTTTTTTTTTTTTTTTTTTTACGTAAGGAATCGCCGTTCAACGAGGAAACCATCCATGCTCTATCATAAAACTTCGTTTTCATATTGGCTTTGGCTAGTATTTGGATCTCCCATCATTTTTTTCTCTGCATCCCATCGTCACTCTTTGATTGCAAATTGAACTGTTAAATCTAACATTTTATAATACTATTATGATGAAATAGAAATAAACATATCTAAACTTTTGATCTAAGCAGCTTACAATATTGACTATAAATTATAATTAAAATAAATGAATGAATTTGGCTAAATGTTGAGTGTTGAACTCTTAATCTAGAGATGGGAAGGAGAATAAGAGAGGAAAGATGACGAGGGGATGGAGATCCCCTCAACTATTATGTAGCTCTCATTTATTCATTCTTAAGTTAAGGAAACAATGACAAAGTTAGGATTCTCAATAAAAGAAGACATTCATGTCTCTTTTAAATTAATTATTTTTTTTTTATTTTTCATTCAGCTTTCAATTATAGATTCATAAGTGTAGCGAGCTAATAAAAAATATTCATCCAATTTACTCTTGAATTTTGAATTTTTATTATTTATCATTATCTTTTTTTTAACTAATCACTGAGTAATGTTTAGGACAAGAAGTGAGTCTATTTAATCACATTAAATTTTTTTCTATTTTTTAAACAATTAATAAATAATATTAATATTTAGGTATAGTGAAATTGTAAGCTAATATTCATAAGGTTAAGTTAAAAATTTGAATAAATATAAGTTAAAAAAGTAAGATTGAAATGGGTTTAAAATTTAAAATATGAAAATAAAAAAATATAAAATATAATAAATAAAAGATATAAATTATAAAATATAAAATTTTATACTTTCAGACATGTCATTTTTCTTGTCCATTACATGTGTCTCCGCTGCCGCCAGCTAAACATCACCTAATGTCATGTGTTTCACAAGCATCTTGATGCGCGCGCTCCTTATCGTGTCACATCAAAGGTGTTATTATATCAGTATTTTCAAGGCACATTTCGATCAGGTGAAGCATCATGCTCAAATATTCAATGTCTTAGATCCTGGCGAGTTTCTATGACGAGAAAAACGGAAAATCAAAAAGGATCGTAGGATGATGCCAAGGTCACACTTGAGTTGTTAGATATTGAGAACATTTCACTTTCACTATTTAACTTCAGTTTTTTTTTTTTATCATCTTGTCGTCCATTATTAGTGTAATTAACCCTTGATTCTTAATTTATTTCGGTGAAAACTAAACTATCTTGACACGATTTGCTTCTAAACCATCAAACGTAAATGTTGATATTAGATTTCTTACGTAGGGGTTCAAGTTTTCCTGGTGATCAATTAAGAAGCCGGGAGTTTCTAATTAATAAACCAAACAAAAAGGTTGCGACGGCAAAATTGTGCATGCACGTGAAATTAGCCTTTAGAATATTGTCCCGAACTCGGAATATAAACGATAGGCTACTAAGCAGGGCACGTCTGTGCGTGTGCTTCCGTGGATAATACGTTGTGCTTTTATTTTTGAATATATAAAAATTATAATGTGCCTACTTTTTATATTCATAAGCAAAATTATAAATTTTAAAAAACATTCAATATATTTTTTTAAACTATATATTCCTCACAAAGTTAATGTTGATTGTCACTACTCACAACATAAATTTGTTTCATTAGTTATAGGGATAATTTAGTAAAAAAAATTAATTTTAAATATAATTATTATATTTAACTAATTTTTTTAAATTGTGTGAATTGATTAGTTTCTCCTATCCTTGACAAGAAGGGAGTGTTGTTCTAGGTTTAAATGTGGTGCGGTGCGAAAATTGTTATGAGCTTTAAGAAAAGAATTTAATTTAATGATGTCAAAGCGATAATAACCTTATATTATATACTCTCTTCAAACTATAATATAAAACATTTTCAGAAGCGTTGTTTAATTCAAAATATAGTACATTTGATAATTTTTGCAAATGATTTTTTTCAACCATATTCCTATTTTATTTATTATTTTTTAAATAAAGCATTAGAATTTTAATTATCACTGTCAAAGCACTTATGTAAAATATTTAATGAGGATAAAATTAAAATAATGTATTTAAAAAAAATTAAGATTCTGATTAATATTTTTTGAGAATTGTGAATCAATTATTGATATGTGTAATATTGTCGTCGGAAAGGGGCACTATATTAATTATCGCATAAGAAACAAGGCAGGCTTCGAACAAACAGGGAAGGAAATTCCTTCACACCTCTAACAAGATAAAAATTTTTTTTGGAATAAAAGGCCACGGTAAAATCGTGTAAGGACCGAAATCAGGTAAGGTCAAAAGCTATAAGGCTTATATAATGAATTGGCAGTATATCAAAAAGACAAATATTGAAATTATCTGGTGATGCCTTGTGTGCCATAAGGTCAACGTATTTATTAGCTTCTCTGAAAACATGCTCAAAAGTTATCTCCCAATTACGCATGGTAACATCTCTTATGTTTTTGATGATGACTGAATAGGGGTGATTATGAGTATTGCTCTAGTTAATGAGAGATAAGGCCTCTATAGAATCAGAATAAACGTTGACTTTAGGGATCTAGGCATTCCAGCAAAGTTTGAGACCTTTCAAGATTCCTATTAGCTCTGCAATAGTGCTAGGTAGATAGCCAATGCTTTTAGAAAAACCCTTAATCCAGTTGCCTTTATCATCTCTAATAAGTCCACCACAAGTTGCAACTCCGTTGAGGTTGACAGAGCCATCGACATCTAGTTTAACCCATCCCGACTTTGGCAAGATCCACTTAGTTGTATCATGAGAGCCATGATTGCTTAGAAGATTAACTTTGGATTGCAGCTTCATGTCATAGATGATTTGTTGCATACTAGTGAAAGTTATATCACTATCCAAATTATTTTCCTCAGAGTAGGCCTTCTTGCATCTTGCTTTCCATATGTTCCAGCAAGTTTGTGCAAAGAGTTTCTTCCAAGGCAATCTCCTTATAGATGTGCTTCTAACTTCATTTTTTACGTTCCAAAGAATCCAGTCCTGCGTGGAAAAAGAGAAGAAAGTATTAAATTTATTAGGGCATACCAATTTTTCCCAAACCTCTTTAGCTACCCCGTAATCCCTTAGAATATGAATGGAAGAGTCAGGGGAGTTACAACTGAATGGGCAGGTGCCTTGCTGATGGTTATTCCCATCAGAAAAATTGTACATGACTTTAAGACGATCCCAACTAGCTTTCTAGAGAAAAAAATTGATTTTTCTCATATGTGGGCCATTTCCAAATTATAGACCAGATATGTGAGTGGTTTTGATATTTGTGGTCCTCCATAGCTTTATAGGCCAATTTGATAGAGAAATTGCTGTCAGAAGAAGGTCTCCAAATAAGTGTGTCCTCCCCACTAGATTGATTTGGAGGTTGGATATGGGCGATGCGTTTGACTATATCATGATGAAGATATCTGTTGATAATATCAAAATTCCATCCACCATTAGTCTTGCATAAATCTAATACTCTAGCATGAAGGATAGACTCAGCATTATTAAAGGCATGATAAACCAAAGGTTCAGGAAGAGAAGTCCATTTATCATACCAAAAGGAGATTTTTATCTCCTTTACTAATTTTCCAACCAATGTGTGGTAGGAAGACATCCCAAATTTTGAATATACTATTCCAAGGATAGGAGCAAGAGTTCAGTTTGATCACTATTAGAATAGTAGGTTTACCACAGTTGTATTTATCACGAATGATTTGTGCCCAAATACTATCAGGTTTAGTAATGAGACCCCAACACAACTTCATTATAAAAGTGATATTTTGATTCTTGAGTTTTTTAAAACCAAGACCCCTCTCTTTTTTTCCACAAGTAACACAATCCAAAGATAGAAGGTGGGGCTTTCTGTTCCCATCAGTAGAGTCCCAAAAAAACTTTCTAGAAATTTTATCTAATTCAGCCAAGACATTGTTAGGTAAGAGCATGGTCTGCATGGTATAGCTGGGAATAGCTACAAGTACAGATTTTATGAGAACAGATTTCCTAGCTATATTGAGGTAGCGATTCTTCCAGTTACCTAAATGCGAATAAGTTTTATTAATAAGGGGCGCAAAGGTAAGCTTAGTAATCCTCTCGTGGATAATAGGAATACCCAGATATTTTCCAAGGTTGCCAGTTAAAGGGATTCCCAATTCATTACTAATTTGTAAAGCTCTATTAATATTGACATTTTTGGAGCAAAAGAGTTTAGATTTTCCAGTGTTGATCTTCTGACCGGAAGCATTACAAAAGTCTGAAAGACATTGCTGAATAATAAGAGCTTGCGAGAAAGATGTTTTTGTAAAAAGCAAAAGATCATCAGTAAAAAATAGGTGAGAAATAAGAGGCTTGTTAGGTGTTAGCCTAATTGGTTTCCAATTATTTTTATCAATACTACTAAGTATGCAATGACTAAGGCGTTCAA